GATTCTCATGCTTTTAATGTCCCTTCATTTTATGTGTGGAGTCATAAGGACAGGAGAAAAAGTAACCTCATTACATCACTGAAATAAAATGAATGATAATGTTCAGAGAAATGTTTATAGTGTCACATTCTTGCAGTCTGCTTATTTCAAATGTCTGCATTTTTTTCATTATTTTATTAAGCTGGTATGGGGAAAATTGCTGTCCATAAAATTTTATTATAACAATTTCAAACTTTTATAGACTAATGCAGTGATGTCATGAGATTACACTACCAATGATCCCGGTAGTTGAAGCTAGACTGGGCTATATATTTTAATAAAAAACCCTTTTGTTGCTATTCTACTATAACTCACAACGTATGGCTTTAACAAAGACGTGTCTCATCTGTTAATCCTGACGCCATATCCAGTTCTCCAACCACATAAGTGAATTGAAACTTGCAAACTGCAATGAGCGACTGCTCCAAAAGAAAGCTGGAGTCACTAAAATCGATGGCACACGTAATATGTGTAGCATCCATTTCATGACCATACTGGTTTCTTTATGAAAAAAAGAAAAGTCAAAGAGGATCTTGTTTATGGGGGTAACTTGATGTCGGTCTCATTGTAAATTTATGTCACAAATATATAATACAATTTGTAAACACAATCTACAAACAGATTTGAAATCCTTTTACATTTAGCTGACGCTTTTATCCAAAGCGACATACAATTGCTATGCATGTCAGAGGTTGCACGCTTCTGGAGCAACTAGGGGTTAAGTGTCTTGCTCTGGGACACAATGGTGGAGTGGGAATCAACCCCACACCAAAGGCAAGCATCTTATCTATGCGCCATCACCATCCCCAAATCCACAAACAAATTCTTCATGATCTACAAATATAAAAACACAATCCACAAACTAATTTAAAATCCACAGACCAGTCATCGAGACCTGTTTGTTGCTAACCCATACGGTCTGGAAAGATTGTAGCATGCTGAGTGCAAACCAATTTTTCTCGCAATCGCTACATATTTTTTTGAGCTGTATGGATGGATGGATGGATAGCAAAAAAAAGCAAATAGTTTACCCATTTAAGCCAATAGGAGAACTGCAGTGGGAGAAAGTTACTTTAAGTAAATTTACTCAAGTACTGTACTTAAAGGTATAGTAAGTGATTCTGCAGAAATGTTGTTGGTATGTGAACTCAACTGGCAAATACACCCTCCCTTCAGTACTCTTATAGAAGAAGCTCCGCCCCCCATATTCATTGAAGTGCAGGCAATAATTACTACCAAAGCGGTCTCATCCCAATGCGTCATTACTGACCCTTTCATACAGCGGGACAAAGCGTAATTATTTGACACTAAAGGTACCCTTCAGCGCCCGTATGAAACGCCACAGTGTGCTACGTCGCAGCAACCCAAAGGAGGCTAACCGTACCTCCTAGCACATCGGCCTCACAGCTGTAGGGCTGCATAAAGTCACTGACTCAGGTTTAGGCACAAATAATTGTGATTGTTATAATAAGGGTAGGGTGCTTCGGGGGGGCTGTCAACACCTTTAACACGAGCTAGTGAGCACTTCCGGTCTGTACGAGATGCCCCAGAGCGTCTCACACAGACGCTGATGGGTACCTTTAGCGTCAAATATCAACGCTTTGTCACTTTATCTGAAAGCATTGGTATTGGATGCTCTGAGTTAACCAGTTGACATGCAATTATTCAATAACTTAGGTTTAGGCACACACCTTTTGATCGTTGGTGTAATGGTAATTGGCTTTGGCTGTAAAGAGTAACATGGCTAGCTAGGTAGCAAGATTTCAGTATCAAAGAAAACAAGGGTCCTACAAATGCAGGTGCGTCCCTTGGATTGTGGTAATGACACTGCAACCTCCGGTACTACAGCTACATACTAATTGAAATAAGGCAGAATCCACAGTCTGCTGGCTGAGGGCAAGTTAGCCTCAATAAGGTGGCATGTGTTTTTGCAGTATACGGCTTAAGTGGAGTGGTAGATCCAGTTTGGTGAACGCTGTAGCTTGATGTAATGGTTCAAAAGCAGGGGCAATGCGATGGAGAGGATTGTTGATCTTAACTGCAATGTCATTCAGTCCGCAAAAGTCTAATCAAGGCCAGAGGGTCTGGTCTGTCTTTTTAACAAGGAGGGGTGAATCAACCCTGCTGCCAGTGACTCATGGATGTACTTCTCCATGGCCTCTGGTCAGTAATTTTAGTACAATCTGCAAGAGGCTAAAGGCGACCCCAGAAAGAGTTTTATGGCACATTCGTATGGTCTGTGGGGTGGCAGTGACGGGGCTTTCTGTCTATAAAAAACCTGCTGTTATCTGGTTAGGGTGTGCATGAGACAGTGTGAATGACAAATGGTGCTCCAACTAATTACAGTGCCTACAGACCAGTCAAAATGGGGGTTATGACATCTGTGTCAAGTCTACCCCAAAACAATAGGAGAGTGAGGAGAATTTATAACCAAAGGTTTGATGGGCTGTGTTCGAAACAGGCTAAACTGATGACCCAGAAGGTGTCTAACAGGTTTCTGGTTATGAAGTCCTTTGAGCGCCTTGTGTTGTCCCACCTAAAATCCATCACTGACTCTCTCCTGGACCCCCTGGAAGAGGTGTTGGTGGGCCAGTAGGGGGCAGTCTTCCTTCTGGCTTAATAATAAGATCCCAATGCCCCAGTGCAGTGATGGGGACACTGTGCTGTAGGAGCTGCCGTCCTTCGGATGAGACATTGAACCGAGGTCTTGACTCACTGTGGTCATTAAACATCCCATGGCACTTGTCGCAAAGAGTAGGTGGTTCCCCGGTGTCATGGCAAAATTCCCAACCATCTGGCCATCTAATCATCCCACATAGTTATTGGCTCAATGTTTCCCTCCCTCTCTGCCTCAAGCTGATGTGTGATGAGCGTTCTGGCGCTAAATGGCTGCCGTGCATCACCCAGGTGGGTGCTACACATTGGTGGTGGTTGAGGAGAGTCCCCCCCCCACTTCACTGTGAAGCGCTTTGAGTTTCCATGATAAAGCGCTATATAAATCTAATGCATTATTATTAATTTGCCTACAGAGCCAACAGGTCTGTAGATGATGCAGTAAACATGGACCTTCACGTCATCCTCCAGCACCTGGACTCCCAGGAACCTGCGCCAGGATCCTGTTTGTGGATTTCAGCTCCGCTTTCAACACCATCATCCCGGCCCTGCTGCAAGACAAGCTCTCTCAGCTGAGCGTGCCTGACTCCACCTGCAGGTGGATCACAGACTTCCTGACGGACAGGAAGCAGCATGTGAAGCTGGGAAAACATGTCTGACTCCAGGACCATCAGCACCGGATCCCGTCAAGGCTGCGTTCTTTCCCCTCTGCTTTTCTCCCTGTACACCAACAGCTGCACCTCCACTCACCAGTCTGTCAAGCTCCTGAAGTTTGCGGATGACACCACCCTCATTGGGCTCATCTCAGGTGGGGATGAGTCCGCCTACAGGTGGGAGATCGACCATCTGGTGACCTGGTGCAGCCAGAACAGTCTGGAGCTCAACGCTCTGAAGACAGTGGAGATAGAGTTTCTGAAGTTCTGCCTGTCAAAGACAATGATGGTGCACTTCTACACCGCCATCATTGAGTCCATCCTCACCTCCTCCATCACCATCTGGTACGCTGCTGCCGCTGCCAGGGACAAGGGCAGGCTGCATCATTCGTTCTGCAGAGAAGGTGATTGGCTGTAATCTTCCATCACTTCAGTACTTGTACGCCACCAGGACTCTGAGGTGAGCAGGAAAGATTGCAGCTGACCCCTCCCACCCCGGACACAAACTGTACCAGACACTCCCCTCTGGCAGTCACAAAGGTCTCGGCTTTTAAAATGCATTTCCACATTTCAAATACCTAAATTGCATGGATCAACCTCTAAAGGTGGAATAATGACTCACATAGCACAGGATTTGTTTAATCAACATTGCAGTTAGATAGAGAAAAATAGGTCGTTAGTCATAACATTATAATCTCCTCACGAGGTTCTTGTCAGGAAAGCAAAACTTGTTTTGTTTTAGGAAATTTAACCAACTACTAGTGATATTATTTTCTGAACATACCGGTCTGTTTGGATTGATTTCCAGTAGTTATGTAAAATTAGGGCATACCTGTATATTTCTACGCGAACAAAGATGCACGGGGTCTCCGTGGTGAGATCTTAGAAATTAGTATTAGTTAACCAGAACAAAGAAATATGACCACATTACTCCTATTTTAGCTTCATTACACTGGCTCCCATATGTTTTCGAATTGACTTTAAAATTCTATTGATCACTTTTAAAGCTCTTCATGGCCTCTCGCCTTGTTATATTTCTGACCTTTTAGTCCCATACGCACCAGCACGTACCTTGAGATCCTCGGGCAGAGGTCTGTTGTCTGTTCCAGAGTCTCGACTGAAAACTAAAGGGGACAGAGCGTTTGCTGTCAGGGCCCCGAGGCTCTGGAACAGCCTGCCCGAGGAAATCAGGTCGGCTGAGTCAGTGAACTCTTTTAAGTCCCTTCTTAAAACATACTTTTATAGGAGAGCCTTTCCCGATTTTATTTAACTTTATTTTATCCCTTTTATTTTATTGTATTTTACTAATTTTATATTAAATTTTCATGCTCTTATCTTTTTTGTATTATTCTTTACACTTGTTAAAGCACTTTGTAACTTGTTTTTGAAAAGTGCTCTACAAATAAGGATTATTATTATATTATTATATTTAAATGTATCCTACCTGAGAACAAATGGACCATTTTTATTGCAATAGCCTGAATTTTCAACATTTGTTGTCTGTCCTATCAAACAGATGTGAAAGACATATTGAGGTTATTAGTCCGCTATTGCACTGGAGAACTTAATAGATTAAGTTAAGTTTGGCAATTTATATTCACAAAACAAACACAAACTAACCCCAAACCTCAAATTTCCCATAGTGTAACAAGAAAGTCAAATCTGTATGTTCAACAAAAAGGGGGGAAAGTTGGATACATTTTGATTTGTACTGCTTTTTAATGTGTTTTTTTTCCATCAGAAATAGTAAAAGCCATACAATGTAGCAAACCAAACATAACAAAGCTCTGTACAGGCATAGTAGCTCATTCACACACATTCTACAGTCCAGACTGATCTGTCAAAGTGGGCAGATGCCACTGGAGTTTCCATCTTGGCAAACATTTAGTTTAAAGTATACTCTTTTCTCAACCAGCATTTTGATGGCAAACAATCTAGATTCTTCTTTCTCGTATGAGTCGAGATGCGGTCGTCACATGAAAATCAAAACCTGATAACTATCTGTGGGCATCTTTCTGGAAAGGGCTGGGTTGAATAAGACTTGTGGATACTGTGTACAGAATACAGTCAGCAGTGTTAAGGTAACAACTTGAATCGAGCATGCAGGCTCTTGCTAATAAATAATGGAACATTCTAGTCAAATATAAAAGCCCTGTAAGTGCTGCACTTTTGAAGAAGTACACTAGAGTCAATGAAGGCCCCCAAACTAACCCTTATTTAATTAGTTTACATCATGTGCCAACTAATCCTAGAGTATCAGGCCTAAAGGAAGGAGTGATAATCTGTCCGACTCCATCCTTGAATGGAATTTAGCAAAACTAATTTGCTAAGAAAATTAGCATATTAATCAATATTAAAATCAAAGTTCATTTTGTAAGCGATCACATTATTTAAACATTTACTTTTTGACATGCCATAATCACAGCTAAAACACTGTAGTAGAATAAAAGTGGTTCCTTTGTAATGATCTTTCGAGACCACATGAGGGCAGCAGTTACTGACTGAACTGACTGGTTGTCCATGAACAAGCTCCAGACCCATGCTGAGATGCTGTGCCAATATGATTGAGGAGCTAGGAAGTCTGCCTCCACACATGCAATGATGACATGGGTCTGTCAATTTCCATATTGTCTCTTTTTAACAAGTAGAAATACACTGATAATACTTCAATATTTTAAGTGCTAAACTTGGACAATGTATTTTCTCGGCAGGTTTAAGTTAATAACACAATAGTGTTGGCATTACTTTAGGATAACTCCGATTTGGACTTAAGTAACAACAATCTTTCATACAAAATATTTCCCCTCTCTTAAAAAAACAAAGCCTCCCCAAGAAAACAAGAATGTTAACAAAAGGAAGAAATGCTGTGAAAAAAAAAAAACATTCAAAAACAACAGTGATACACTTTAAATGCACACACTTTACATCTTATATGTCAATGAACTTTAGCCAAAATAAAAAGCAATCAACAAAATAAAGCAACAAAAATAAATATCTTAAGTCACTGTTTGGAAGTTTATATATATATATCTATGTATGTATATTATATGTATAGCTTACTTTTGGGTAGGGTGAGTGTTAACAGTTTTGGCCGGCTGACACAATGGAGCTTCTCCTACTGACAGAAACTTTCAACACAGAAAGCTGAAGAGCTGTATAGGAGGACAACACTTTTCTATAAAGATTGTCCTCACAAAACAACTTTAGGCCCTTCAGTAATGAGCAAAATAATGTGGCTATGTGCTGCGCAGACTGAATAGAGAATGTTGGCAGATAGGAAGCCAATCCTCATCTTTGCTTGTCTGACCAAAACAATCGAGATGCTTCGAGGATGCAATGATTCAGTGGCCTTCTTAATGATGCTTTTCTGTACTCACATGGAAACTGAACATGCACAAAAATTGGTTTAGCTGATATCTTCACCCTCTAGCTGCACTTCAGAGGAATAACATCGGTTGCATCGTCATTGAACAGGGAAGGACCTGTGGAATTTTGGAAAACAACCTTAATTCCATGTTTGGCTATTTGCATATTTAATACAGCCTGGAGGAGTTTAATGTTCTTTTTTTCTGTTCTTCTTTTCCATAAAAAGCTCTGCATTACAAAAGAAAGTCAGGCACCAAATGTCATCTATAACAGTCCTACTCATAAAGCAATCTGGAATATTTACACAGACCTCACCAGCTGCAAAAATGTCCGAAAAAATTGTTTGCTAAATGGCAACGGTGCAGAATTGACCTACAGTACATACAGAAAGAAACAGTTCAGTATTTTTGATTAAGCAGCCATACTTGTTTTACAAAAGAATACTTCCAACCCTCCGACAGTGGCACACTATACACGCCCTGACTACTTTTTTAAAATCTTTGGTTGACCTGTCAAAAGCCTGATAGATTTGCAATCCACCTTTACATCACACAACTTAACTTCTTCTTTAAAAAAAATTTTATCAACCAATTGCTAAAAAAAAATTACATTTGCACACACAATGTCATTCCCTCTTCCTGTTCATGCGTTTCCCTGCCAGGGAGATCAGAATCGCCTCCCGTCCCATTGTCACACACAGCCACGCCCATCCTGCACTTCCTCTGGTCCATTCTGGAGTCCGTCCATGAAGAAAAGCACATGCATGCAAGCCACACACACACACACACACACACACACACACACACACACACACACTCTCTCTGTCTTGTTCTCTTTCATTTGTTAACATACAAAAACACACAGACACTCAAGAAAAAGTAAGAGCAAGAAACAAAGGGTGACACATAAAATCGAATGCTAAGTTGACCAAAACAGAAAGTAAGCGTCTGTGGTTAAAAGGAAATAAAATAACCAAAGGCATTTTTAAAAAAGCGCCAGGGTTTGCTGTCAGCTCTCATCGTTTCTGTGAGGCGATCATCTTCAAGACGAAGTTGACGATGGCGTTGGCAGGCTGGTCAGGATCCATCTCAGCGAAGAGGTGGCTGACGTTGTCGGTTGTGCTTCCCTGCTTACGGGCCACAAACCCAAACAGCCTGGAAAGAAAAAGGTTGTTATTTATGAAATTCAAAAATTTAACGAGTCAGCACTCACAGAGAGCTGTGATCCATAGGTGAAGCACACAAAATGACAAATTCACAAAATGTCAACAACGTTTAGGCTGAAACACTTTAGTGTGAGTTGACCTCAGACAAAACCGCTATTTTGTCACACGTGTCCTCCAGTTTCATTGTTGTAAAATGTACACTCCCTGTGCTCTGATTGGTGAGTAGGACCGTAACATTAGGCGCATGGAGCTTGTGATTGTTTAAAACGGCTCAGATGCATTGTATAATTAACATTTTAATCGCCGTCTTCAAGATTAGCTATTCGTGTTCTTTCAAATCGCAATTTCGATTTGAAAACGATTAATCGTTCTGCCGGTAACGTGAGGTAATACTAGTAAAAAATTCTGAAGGTGTTTTCAGTCTGCTGTGCTGCTTTTCTTCTATGTTACCTCTGTGCAAATGTAATAATACTTTTTGGTAGTGCCGCACGATTTGGAGAAAAGGTCATATGGCGATTATTGTGGACAGTATTGCAATTCACGATTCGATTATAATGAAACAAATGGTACTATGTGTCTGCTTAATTATCAAGGAAAATGCACAACATGCTGACATTTTGAAATATGTTTTTCTCAACTTGAACAAAGGTAAACAAGTAACTAGTAAAGCTCCTGCTCTCAGGAGGAGGCGGCTAGAAGGAGCACATATGGGCACACAAGCTCCGGCTCAGTGCACATCTGTCTAATGTAGAGTCTCTGTACATGAGTGTATTATATAGAGTATAATGTTTAGTTAATAGTCTACTGTTAGTATAACATAATATACTACATTCATAATAATTTCATATAATAGTATACTATTTTACCACTAGTCGAATATTAAATCCAATTACAGCTGTTTCGTTTTTATTTATTTCATCCTTGAAAAAGCTCTACATTGGTCTCTAATTTGTCAGTAATCATATTGTTCATCATTTAATGATTTGCTTTATTTAATATCCTGCCCCATCCGGGCTGTGATTGGTCGGTTGACGAAAAGTGACTGGCAGGCACGTTGGCTCTGTGAAAAGCTGAACATGTTGAACAACAAAAGACACCGATGCAGCTAAATGGCGTTAAACGGCTGGCGAGCCAAACTCAAACGTTCTCTGTCTTCGGCCTGTTTTCTTCTTTCTTACTGCTTCAGCTGCCGCCGACGTCTCTCTGTCTCTGTCACAGAGCGACCGGAGCACTGGCCCTTTTCTCGGTTCTCCGGTGGCCAGTCCGTATGTATGTTTTGAACGATTAGCGGCGGGGTGGGAGGGGGTTACAGTAGGTTGTTGTCTTAAAAGTTACTGGCACACTGCTCATAAATCATTTTTCTCATGGGCACATGCGAGGATAATGAGCAGACTGCAGCGCACACACAGAAGAGAGCGTCTCACACACTTTTTTGTGGTTATGTAATCACACATGACGACATCGCGATTGTGATTAGATTAATGGTGCAGCCCTACTTTTTGGCACTTAAGGGACAAAATCCTTGGTGAATATTCCCTACTGAATCACGTACTTCACGTAACACCCCCTCCCCCCTTGTTCTGTAGAAATGTCAGATCAACATTAGCAGTTTACTGTACTTACTTGGCCGTGCCTCCCTCAGGCTTGTTCCACCTGTAAAGATTTGAAGAAAGTATGTGTTAACACTCTAAGACAGCCAGATACTGATGACCTTTGGCTATTCTGGTATGTTTTTAGGTATGAGAAAAGGCAACTGTATCCAAGGCGTGAAAGACAGGACTCGCCCGATCAATAATATTAGTAATAATAATAAAAATAATGGACATAGAGCAATTAAGGATAATGCTTGGACCTTTATCTTGGACCTAATCAGTCATTTTGCATCTCAGTGGCCTAAAAATACACTAAAGGTATGTTAAGTAATCATTTTGATGTCTATGTACTCACTTTCTGTCCTGAGGGTCAATATCGCAGAATGTGACAGCGTTGCTGGGATAGTGCCGTCGGAAGAAAAGCCTAGAAAAGCAGCAAATCAAAATAGAGATTACAGAAACACCAAAATAAAGGAGAAACATGGTGGGAATGTGAACTTGTTTGGAGTGGTAGATGATATGCTTTAATCCTGAGGTTGCATACATCATGCTTGTAATAACAGCATGAACAACACTTGGCTTCCACCAGGAAACTGGTTCGCTGACCACAGCCATCGATTATACAATTCTAGCTGGTCAATATGAACATTAAAGCAACTTTAACTCAATGTGGACTCAGTCCAACCTGTGATTGTCAAACTAACTTCACTTGACTCAACTTCTGACCTGTAGTGCTGTGGTGAATTTTTTCCTCACACATCAGCACCTGATTGTGACTGAGTGGGCTGTTAGTCCCGACTTTTTAAATATGAGGCCTTTGGTGTAACACCACTGCTCATTTTACCTGAGGTTTAATAGCCTAATATTATATAACATATTAAATAGAGAGTCATCTTTTCTGACCTTAGTGGACGTTCTCTGTATTTCAGATGAGACAGGGCTGCAGGAAACGGTAATATATCTCGGATCAGTTTAAATTGGCCAATAACACTGGCCATGTCGATATGTAGGTTGGGATTTCCTTGTAATGCAGAGGTTTTTAAGTGTGGTTTAGTTTGGATTTTAAATTCTTAACTGAAATACTGTAGAATAAGACCCTGATCCTATAATCCTGCGTTAGCAGCTATTTATTGCTTCTGATTGTGTGCAGCGCCTCATGTTGACACTTGCCCTTTAAAAACAAAACGTGACGTTTGCTGTCTGCAGCAAAATCTCCAGATGTCATGCAATGTTTATCTTATGATCAGCATCTTTCAAGACGCCGTTAAACACGGGATAGGCGGTATCCAGACTTACTTCCTCTGGTTGTCGGTCAGCGTGATGCCTTGTGAAGACACCTTGAAGTGCACAATGGTGGCAGTAGGGGGAGAAGTGGCAGCCAGTGTCTCAGATATGGCCTTGGCAACAGCCTGAGGGCCTGTCAGGGACTCCATCTCCACTGAGTTGATGTAGAGCACGTTGCATGCTGGAAAGAGAGCAGATGTCCCAGTCACACAACAAAATCCAATGATGTGGACATTTCATTTCTGTCACTCTGCAAAGACAAAACTATACAAATAGTGTTTATTCCAAAATCAATCCTCTTCAAAATCTTATTAATACCAGTTTTAATCTGTTCATGCAAAAATATTGACGTCTTCTCATTAGAGCTCATGCTTTCTGGAACAAAGTTGGAGTCAAACAGTTTTAGAAATGAATCAATCCAAATCATTCCACATAAAACATTCTGCCTGTTATGGACAAGAAGCTGGACACTAACGTTAAGAGACAAAACCTAAAAACTTTGCCGGGAATTCTGTTACACAGGGCCATTCATAAGTTTTCTTTCTTGCATGTCACAACATACACAGACAAACAATCAGGATGCACATTCCAGATTTAGGTTTCCAAATAAAAGTGCACAGGGTTTACCATGGGAATCAGCAGGGGCCCTCTGCACTGGGATAACAAGGGTTTCATGTTGTCAGAATATGAAAAGGACAGGAAAGCTGTACTGGCTGTATTTGAGTCTCAAAAACTGTCAAATGACTGCTTTTAGCAATGACACTGAGTCGATGTTTTACCTGCTCCTTGTTTCAGCCTTTCAACCAGTGGATTTGTCGTCGCGACTTCTGGCACTTCCTCGATGAGATCTACATAAAACAAAAGAGAGGTGGGATGTCACTAGTTTTGGCAAAAAGTTAAGCTCCTGCAGGGGTAACTTTAGTTACAGGTTCCAATCTGACCACTGATATTATATACTGCATGTCTACCTGCACTTAAGAAACGTATGGTAATCAGTTTTAAATCATATCTAGCAACACAAATAACTCCTCAGAAGCAAAAAAAGAATCACTTGAAAATGCAGGAACGTTGCTGAAAACATAGTTCGACCCACAAACCTGTTGTAGGGATAAGTAGTTTGCAGGGTAGAGCCAGTGGGGTGATGGCATGTTGGTAGACCAAGGCAGACAGACAGCCTGTCAAACAGACACAAGACACAGTCACAAACATTTCTTGAATTTCATTCTAGTCTTTGGAACAAACAATTCCACTACACAGTATTATTTAGATTACTTCCCATGAGTATTTTAGGAAATGTTGTTCCAGTTTCAGTGGTGTTTTGTACATCATATCAATTTAATTCCTAAATCCAACAGCCAAAATGCTGTTAAAACTTTCAACATATATTTTATATAATATAGACTAGCCCTGGCAAAGTTATTTACTATTTGTGTCGTCTTATATATTTGTATACTGTTGATTATACTTCTTTATGCACTTCCCCTTTAACAATTTAATTCTCAACAAAAACTGACCCTTCTGGTTTCTATTCCTGTCAGGAGGTCTATCCATCCCCATAACTCATCTTTTTAGGTTGGATGGATTGTTAGATTTACAGTGGTAAGAAAAATCCTTTTAGGATTAGTAGTTTTAAAATCAAACAAATACACACAAGCATAAGAGCGGTGGATTGAGTTATATGTTGCAGACAGGAGAAGAAGACAAAAGTGTACAGAAGTCAGCTCGCCCCATTTTTTGGATTTGGCAGAGGAGCACTGTCTCTCTCAGTATATGCACACAAACACACATCATACAGCCCTGCAGTATAATTAGTAGGGCGATCATGAGTTAGATCACTTCAGTCCATACTATAATTACACGTTACAGAACGTGGAAAGGGTTTCAGATCTGTGACAAATACACAGGGCAGGCACACAAAAGGAACCCTCATGTTTGACTTTCCCTCCAAACTCTTCATGGCTTCACTAAGCTGTCAGTGCACATGTGAGTGTGTATTTCAGAGAGGAGGGAGGGCAGCAGGCTTCCACTAACCAAAGTAAGGCTCGTTTGGACAACCCTTCAGCTTCACTCCTTTAGGACTGCTCTCAATCAGGAAGTGCCTCACCAGCTCGTTGGTGATGTCACCTGCAACAACAAAAGGGAGGGTGGAGCAACAAAAGAGCTGATTAACGTGGAGACATCACTTCATATCTTTGGTATTAAGATAATAGCTTTAATTCTGTCTCCACCCTGCTGACCAAAGACCAAAATAGGGAGAAAGAAGAGCTACACAAAACTCTGACGGAGCCAAAGTAAATACTTGTTGCATTAGTAACTACTTTAAAATAGCCATTCATGTAATCCACCATCCCGCCCCTACCTTTCTTGTTCTGATGCACTGAGGGTGGAGGAGAGGCCACCTTCATAGCCAAGCCGTAAGCCCCCCTGAACGAGTGACTGTCCCGGATGACAAAGGCTCCAGGCTCCCTCTCTCTCAGCAGGCTAATAGCTGTAACACAGTGGACATTCAGTTATATTATACTGTCAGAACATTAATTGTAAGGGCAGTCGGACACTTGGGGAAGAGTGGACATGATCCCCTCTTGTATTTAATGCCGTGCCAGAAGCACGGCTCTAGTGACGCTCATGCACCTACTATCAGATGGATCGCCTTGAAAGTCAGCTATATTTAGCGTTTAGTGTTAATTAGAAAATGTTATTATGCTAACACACAACACTAAGATGGTAAACGTTGTACATGTAACTGTACAGTCTGACTAGACACAAGTGGGGCTGTTTTTTTTATCAGAGTTAGCTTGGATCTAAAGTACATCTGCAGTCCCTTGGCAGGTCACAGTTAAAACGTAATAAAATACAGCATGAAAAAACAGGATAAGACGCACACATAGCAGTACCCTACATATAAAATGTAAGGGGAAAAAACCCTTGAAATATCACACTGGCTAACCTTCGGTATCCTACTTTAGAAGTCAGAAAAAGTCAGCTCATTAAAGGTTCAAGGTGAATTAAAGAAAATAGTAGCAAAAAGCTAAATGAACGAACAAAACCAAAGGAGCAGGTGATGTCCCTCTGTATTTCATTAAAACTACAACTTTAAACACGGCACTTTGTTTTAGACACTCCATTGTTCAAGTAGAAGAGCTTTAGATCAACTTCTTCTCTGTTTAGTTCAATGCCACCGCCTGTCCACATGTGATAGTTTAAGGAAGGAAGATGGATGAGATGAGCAACTCATGCAGATGTTCCCTAATGCTCTACATATGGTGTGGATTTTCTTCTGTGTGTGTGTTTGTGTGTGTGATGTCATTGCAGTTGAGCATGTGCTTGTATTTAACATGATATAATCCAATACGGGCCATGAGCAAATGCGCATGGGGCAGCCAATAGCCACTGACCTCAGAGCCGAAACGCACAACCAATCACACAGTACAGAGATGTGCACATACTGGTACGTGCATGTGTTTTTGTCTCCATGCATATTCATCACTGTGTATGTGTACTGCACGGGCTTTTATCTCAAGTGATTATGTTAGGATTTGTTTAACGCCATGACTTCAGGTTTAACAAAAGCTCAACATTGGAATAACAAGCGTTCAGTCATCCCAACAACATTTTTCATGCTTCATAGGAGGCACCAAAAACAGTACCAGAGCATCCATACAAGCTTATCAAACCAGTCCTGCTCTGTCCATTACTATGCTCTATATGATGCAATCATATTTTTGCCAAAATATTGCTAAGTACATGTCTTCCTTGGTTAAACCGAATTGAATCGAACAGGCCGATCCCCGGCAGGCACCTGGCACCAGAAGATTGGTATATTTGATTGAACACAAAGTAGAAGTTAAAAGAAGAAATTAAAGGGTCAGAATTGTTAGACTAAAGGTCAGTTAAGGGAAAAATCTTTCAGCATCTTACCTTGCTCCCTGGAAATGTCTGGCTTGTACCAGAACTTGGACGTGTCTTGGACAAACTTGACATTTAGCCTGCTCTCAGGACTTCCATCTGCAATTAAAGCAAAAAGAATGTCACAGAATATGCAAGAATTGTCCGACGTTACTCTGTATAGCTCGTGTGCTGCTGAAATGCAGATGTTACTCCAGATACTGTATGTCCTTACCTGGCAAATTGAACCTTGAAAAGTCCGAGAGGGTGTGGAAGTAGCTGGGAGTGCTTCCTCCGCTCACCGGGGACATTATCTTCCCGTTCAGCGTGCCATAGGACAATGCTCCGTTTGGTCTATCGCCACTGGACATGCGCCTCTTCTCTGGAAGCTGTGGCTGGAAACCAGGGGCTGGGCTACCCTGCCGGAACCCTACACCCATCCCCATCATCCCCCCATCCTGGTAGCCTGCAGGTGAGATGGGGAAGGAGGGAGTGGGTGGTCCCTGGTAGCCCGAGGAGCTGCTCTGTCGCGACAGGTTCCCGTGTCTCTCGTCTGGGGTGGTGTAACCGCTGTTCATGGGGTGACGGTCCAAACTGGGGCTTCTCTGGGATACCTGTGATACAGATGGGTGTCGCCCCAAAACTGGACTTCCTTGGGGATGTGTGACGGATGGCTGTCGGCTGAGCACTGGGCTGCTCTGCATGGGCTGGCCCAGGGACGGCTGCCTGCTGAGAACCGGGCTCCGCTGAGACTCCTGTCCCAAAGAGGCCTGTCTGCTGAGGACTGGGCTGCTCTGAGCTACGTGAGACAGATGACAACCAAGGATGGGACTGCCATTGAGACCTACCATCCCCACCTCGAAGCCATTAGCTGGTGATGTTTGCTGACCCACGATGAAACCACCCTGATTAGCATTTGAGCGCTGCTGAGGAACTGGGTTATGGGTGGAGCCATGGATGTTGGTCCGGTGCTGCGCATGAGGACTTCCATGGCTGAGAGTTGTCTGGGAGAGATCTGAGGTGGGCGGGCTGGGATCTGAGGCCACATAGCTCCCTAGTATGGTGTTGGGGCCAACATAGGACAGTGCAGGGGTAGTAGTGCCAAGGTAGGAAGAGGTCGGAGAGCTGGAATCCAGGTAGGAAGAAGTGGGGGTATTCAGGGCTTGATATGAGGGGGTGGGAGTGGGGTAGGCACTCTCTGTAGCCTGGGAGCGGAAGCCCGAATCAGTAGTGCGTTGGGACGGAGTGCTGATGCTGCTCTCTGCTAAGGCGTGATCACTGGAAGAGAATTGGAAAAGATTATTAACCAGCAGTATTTGTGCACTTCTTCAGTTGGTTTTACTTTGGAAGAAATTCAAACCATTCATAACGTAAAAAAACGTACAAAAAGTAAAACCTTAGAGATTGGCAGAGTATGTCCTTGCAAAGAAGAAGCTACCTATGGCTTCAAAAGACAACCCTTTATTTTTAAACAGTGTGAAATATGAACAAGTTTTTTCTCTTCGACCTTGGACCGAAAACGTTATTCGGCGTTACGTATTTCACTCACCCCTGTGAGCTCTGGATGGGGCTGCTGCTTGACAAAGGTGGGTTCAAAGGGTGGGAGGAGGGACTAGGACTTCTCTGCTGGCCTGTAGTCTCCTCTGGTGGGCTAAGGCTCCGAGGTGATGTGGGCTGCTCTCCGCCTGCCACTGCCGACCTTGCCACAGACTCTACATAGCTTCTTGGTGCTGCATGGGAGACAAAAAAAAAAGTTTCTCTATGAGCCACACATTTACTTCTATTCTGCTCGTCTTGTTATTGGTTTTAGCTTTGTAGCACTGTGGTTTTGTTTTTCCTGCTTGGAATGTATTTGATGTTGATGTAAACACCAAGCCAACAATCCCTAATAAAGTGAGGGTGATATAATGACAAAAAAAAAAATAGGAATACGTGAAAATGAATGTCTGCCAATAGAGTGCACAAGATAAAAATGAGATGCCTGTGAAAGCGTATTTAGTCGTGAGAGTAGCAGTGACTTTTCCAGACAGGAAACAAAAACCGAAATGGTTACGCCACACATGATATGGAAGGTGGACTATAACTGAACAATAGGGGGTGGAGGAGATTAAAACCTTGAATGTCGATCTATGCCGTTCTACCCGCACTCTTACCTTCCTCACCCTCAGTGCTCTCATCATCTGTGGAGCATCATTGGAGATAATCCAGAGAGACAGAATCATTTCAAGAAACAGAGGTACAGCAGGGGAGTTTGAAAAAAAATATATAATCATTTAATCAGGCATGTGAATCTCAAAATAACTCAATTCATGATATTACTGTAATGTGTGCCGATTTCAGTTGCACACACAGTGTATTTTGAGAAGGGTTAAAGGGTGACAAGCTTCTTCTGCTCTAGCGTTACTTTCGTCAGACGGAACTAAACGAAATATGTTCGTGAACGACTTTTTTTTCCCTGACTATAACGAGACGAAGACGAGAAGGCGACAATGTCCTTAAACGCTGACAATACGCTGACAAATGTGACAATATTAATGTGCAGTATTGTTGACGAAAAATGACGACACTAAAATGTAATTCATAAAGTTAAAACGTTAATAAAGTCAGTTTAATGAGGAGACAAAATATTACAGGCCATATTTTCTCCCTCTAAATTTTTACTTTAACGGTGTGTTCATTCGACGGTATTTTTTTCTTCCTTGTTGCTTTGAGTGCCGGGCGACGCCTGGTGGGCGAGGTAAACGTTACTGTGATGCTGAGGATGCGAACTCTGGTGATGAACACAACATGCTAGGGAGAAAGAGGCGCTTAGATATTCGGTCCCATTTCAAATAACAAAAACAGTGAGGTGGACACAAAAAAACAGAGTGCCTAATTATATCGGACTGCGAGCAATGTGGTTATAATATTTATGGACAAAACAAACACTACAAAGTAGAAGCGACATATCAAGGCTAACCACCTGGGATTTGAGGTATGTCTCCTTTGCAATAAAAATGAGAACAAAGCTGACATTTGAATCATATCTCTATTTTGGTTCTAGCAGGTTGACCAAAATGCTGATCAAAATTATACTAATGAGTTAGAAAAGACTAAAATGATGGTTAATGACTAAAACTAGACTAAAATACTTTTGATTTGTTTTTGACTAAAACACCCAGACTTATAGAAAAATAGTATACGGTGGACTAAATATGACAAAAAACTAACAAGGACATTTGACACAGGACTTAAATTAACAAAATTAACACTATTGTGCTCGTACACTAGCTGTAAGGGTCTAAAGATCACATCAGCTCAAATGCTAAGTCTATCATTTTAGACCATTTAAATATCATTTCATTTTCATGTTTCTCAGCTGCTCACGCGTAGGCATGTTTTATATCTGTTTTACAACAGCTCCTGATGTAAACAAAAAAACTAACTTTACATTATAAAACCAGTAACAACTTGGATTTGGCTCTTGCCTCTCCCTGTCTTGCCACAGTGACCACCAAAGGTTGAGAGTGTTACAGAACAACCAACCTGAGCCTGTTTGGTTGAGGTGGATTTCCGCTGGGTTGTGGGGCTTCAAACCCAGGGCTGACAGTGGAGTCTTGGCAAGACCAGGAGGGGACCGACCTGAAGGGAACGGGACACTTGTCACCACACAGCATCACACACACAGCATACATCATAGACATCTTGACAACTGCTACCTGCTGACACAGTCTAACAATGATTTATCCCTTTTTGGGAAAAAAATGACTAAGTTGGAATGCCATTATGCCATTGTGTATAAAAACCAACACAATTTCCATAAGGCCTGCTGTATTCTTTGAATGGCAATCTAGTCCGTTCACCTTGCGTCTTGGTAATCATGTACTAATCGACAGGTAAACAACTGTCAAGACGATAAATAAATACAACACAGCTTAACACACAGGAGCGACATGTTCAGAGGGATGCGCTCATGCTCTGATGGAGTGACAAAACATGCATGTGACCAATCACAATGCGACAAATGGGCAGTGACACCAGACGGCAACTCTGACACAGTCTCCGCTACGTTGACCTTAACACTGGAGGGAAAGATGAGGAGTAGAGTGTGTCGCCACGAGAGCCTTAGTCATCCTTCCACCTATTTTTGCTAGGTGTTTTATTCAAGGTGACTCTTTCCACTTCATGAAGCTGTCTTGCACCTCTAGTTCTCCTTTACAGTGCCAGCTACTCCTTTATTCCCCCCCCAGTGTAAACACAAATAATCATGAGAAAAAAAAAACCCTCTGGAAACACATATTTCTAGCATAATGAGCAAAAGGAAAGACATAAATGGCTGCGCAATTAAGACTGCCGGGGGAGCGCAGGCAGGGTGCTGTTTGTGGTAAAACAAGGCAGCAACAGGAACCCAAACAGTGATGACCACAGCAACACAGAGAGCAGCACACGTTCTCAATAACTGTGTGTCATTGTGCAATATGTGTATGTGTCTATGGATGTGTGTTCATGTTCCCTGTTTTTGTGCCACATTTATTAGCTATTTTAAAAGGCAAATACCTGCAGGTTGTTTGCTTTTTCAAGGACAAAATGAACTGTTGTCTGATGTGTGTGGGCATGTTCTACATTGTGTCCGTTTTGTTGCCAGTGCTGCTCTCGTGCGGCTCTCATGCCAAAGCGGTGCAGAACTGTGATGAGTGATGGGTAAAGGGTCACTCGGGGTAGACAGAAGGGACAGGGTTTAAGGAATGGGGGATCAATTTGGCTGACGTTGTGGGACAGTGGAACTCCGGTAGAGAGACATGCATCATCCACTTACCAAAGAATCCAAATCTATTCTTTGTACTTGCAACGTAGATGCCCCACATTTAATTGTGGGTGGTGTGTGCAGGGCAGGTGAAGTAAACGCTTTGGAATGTGATTTGAGGACACCCTTCTCAAAATGAAGGGGTGTAATGGTAAGTTAATCTGGTGTCACGTGCACTAATCAATAAGCTCACCATGCATCTTTTGTTTTGCAAATAACTGCAAAACTAATCTCAGTTAACTGATGACAGTTAACCATGTTTTGTGCTTAGCCGTGAAAAAGATAATCTGGTTTAGGGTCCATGAAATACGCAGAAAAATGAAGGGACACACGTGTTTCCTCACATTTATCCCCAAAGATTTATTGTTAATCTCAGATAAGGTTACTGTTCAGTGTCACCGTGTACTCACTGATGTTATGTGACAGATTGGGAGTTAAAAATATGGTGTGTCTTTATGACTAACTTTTATGGTTGTGCCCTGGGGGAGACAGGCAACAGACACTTTAGCTAATACATGACTCTTGTTTTAGTGTGGGGTGTATGTGAGACTGAGTGAGGGGGTTGGGAGAGGGCGGGATGGGGAAATGGGTGTGTGTTTGTCTGATGGTGAGTCTAACTATATCCCTTCCGTTTTCTGGTCTTAGTGAATAAATTAAACATGAATTTTCTTGTAAGATCTGCTCTATTGTTTGTGAAACAGTTACAATAAAAAAGACGGGCTGCACATCAGTTGCACCAAACCGACTTGGCCTTTTCTCTCTCTCATTCCCTTTTTTTACTTATTCAGCCTCTACTGAATGATGACTGCAGACATTCTTGTGAGAAAAGAGGGATTCAGTCTTCACGAGATGTGGCCACTGAGGCATTTTGATGAGCCAACGCACGGCCAGAACGCTGCAAGCGCCCACTCATTCGCTGGACATTGGAAATGCAGCCAATTTACAATCTGAATGAAAATGAGATGAGGTAATAGTGGGGATAATTTTTCACTACTCGGAATAAACCAAAGGAAGACGTACATAAAAAGAGAAGTTATTGTACAAGTCGAGACAAAGTACCGCAAGTGACTGCTGAGAGTCTTAAAACACGATGAAAGGTGTTTCACCTCAAGACCTCTCCTACAGGAAGTTCAGCATCACAAGTTAAAGACATTCATAAGTTGATGAATGCTGAATCACTACTAAAATAAGTACTGTGTAACCCTAACCCACTGTAGATATACAAAGATATCATAAGACATGACCTGTTGTCGAGTACTTGTGATGAGTGTGACATTTTATGCCTGAGCTCCACAGTGCCCTCAGTCAGCTGGAGGGGGAACTTACACAGGTTGAAGTAAGGGGTTTGCGGCGAGATGGGGAAAGCAGGGGTTTGGGGAAACACCTCACCACCAACTGTGGGTGTAGGACTGATGGGGCCACCATCCATCTCCTCGAAGGCCTCACGGTAGCTGTGCATGTGTCTCTGGGGAGCAGAACAATCACATGAAAAACCACATACGCACGGCAACGTGCAAATAAAAAGGTGCAAAACCATGATCCAGGATGTGTGCTTTCTACCTCCTTGGGTCTTCCTCCAGGATTCATCGCTATGGCGTTTACAAACTCAGGAGAAACGCAGCGGATGGGGGAGCGAACTGGGACATCAGGAGAGGGGACGTCATCAGAACCGTTCTGGTATTGGCCGTCACTGGTGATGCGACGGCGGGGCAGAGTTGCAGGCTCGTCCAAGGACACTGCACGGGCCTGGACACCTGAGATGACACGCGAGTGAGTGTTAAAATTAAGCATGGGCTGCACTGCTCTCCTCAAGCAAATCAGTCACCGTCACCAGAGGTTAATGGCTGTCAGCCGTTGTGAATGCTCACTGCACAGGCCATCGTGTGCATTTTGCAGACAATCAAAACACTGCAAAGGATATGCAGGAGGCTGTGGTTCTTAAAACATTTGAATTAAACATGCACACACACAAGGTTAATGAAGGGTGAGCTGCTGATCCAACTGAAGCCCATTAAGTCACAAAAATTAAACAAAACAAATTCTCAATTTCATAAATTATTGATATCCACAACAAGACAAAAGTTTAGGGAAAGTAAAAACTTGACATTGGACATGTTACCTAAATTGATGTTCACCCCTTCTAGCATCAGCTGAAACTATAATAAGTAGCTAGTTTTTGGAGTTCCAGGGGGAAAATGTTCTCTCACACAAATAATCAGACTTTCTGATACTCTGGTGCAAACTCTTGGTTATCTAATGCCTCAATGTGGCCAGTGCTGGCCGAACCTCAAAGCAGCCAGTAAGCTCATTTCAGTTAATCTGGCTTGAACTGAGAGAGAGAGACAGAGAGAGAGAGAGAGAGAGAGATCAGCATAAAACAAACAATTTGAGCTGAGAGTTTTAAGCTAATGTGCGATGGCATTGACTGGCGGGTCGAGGTAGCAAAGCATAAAATGCTGGCCAAAGCAGCAAAGCCAATGTGAAAGACAGTCACTGGCTGCCCTGCGCTTTGGAACAAGATAAAGGTTAATAGGAGAAAGACGGGAAATACAGTAGGTTTAAGAAACAAGGGGGGAAACGGGGGATAATAGGAGAATGGTACTCAGGCAGCTTACCCTCTCTTTCTAAGTGTTACTTGATGTTTCAGATTTTGCAATAAAAAAAATCATATTGTGATTACGACAAAAGCCCTGGAGTACTTATTCTTTCTCTCTAAGAGTTCTTTCACACCTAAATGTCAAGGTGGAATAAGTTCACAGTGACCTAACTAATGTGACGGAGGGGTTTTGTCAGTTTGATGATGATCATTTCCAAGCATGGGAGAAACACTGAGACACACGCCTTACAAGCCTGAAACTGGGAAAATACGAATATCCCGACGACAACTTTGCATCAATCCTGCCCCCTACTCTGCCTCAACTGTAATCTTATCCGACCTAACCAACAGAGGCAACGAGTGAGAGCCAATCACAAAGCAGAGTTATCGAAAATCTGGTGGGGAAAAACATAACGCATTTTGAATACTTAAATGGTCACTAACTAAAATATCCAAAGAAGTTTCAATCCTTCTATGTGTTTTGTATCACCATTATTAAGTAATAATTAATAAATCACTGTACTATTTTTACATAATAGAAAGGAACCAATGATAAACATGACATCTTTTAGGGTGCTTGATTTACCTTCAGCTTAAAATAGCTTGGTGTTGGCAGGGTGTTGGCTAAAAAATCTTGAAACAGCTTTGAAAAGCATGTAGTCAACACCCCCAAACAGAAACACACCCACCATTGCACCGAGGCTGGAAACTGAGAACCAGATGTACCCACGATGCACCGCTCTACAGTAGAGTACAGTCAAACACTGCGCTGTTGCCCTAGCGACGGCTAATGGTTTCCAGGTGGGATGGCTGGAGATTCTCGAGGACTGACATTATTTTTTCCCTCTCCTCCCATTTGTCAGCTATTTAAAATCCAGTTATCATGTGGATTACCACGGGGTTTGATTCCAAAAACATAAACTTTATGGGTAATCTTTATTTTCTTCTTTTTTTAAAGGAGGGAAAACACCGTCTCCACATGTGTACACCTGCAACTGAGAGAGGTTATCTAAGGTAAGACTGAGGGGAATGCATTCCCGACAAGGTCAGTTCAGATCAACAACAAAATTGCATTAGTAACGTAAAAATTTCTTTATAAAAATACTATAAAATTTGTGTGAATACTACTTGTACAATATAAACGTCATGATGACTGCAGATATGACCTCATTAGAACTTCATTCCAACTCTACAATCCAAGATCTACTCTGTAACATTTGACTTTGACTTTGTGTTGCATCATTAAAAAGGATATGGCTGTCTGCGGTTATGAGGGCAGATTGTCCCCTGACACCCTAAATGGAATCCTGTCAGAATTGTGGTCGCTGTCTCCCGGTGGACACACACAGCTTTAGTGATGTTTCCAACTAGGACTGTGGTCTCTCTCCTAGATTTGGTGTCCTTTGTCTGGCTTTGTAAATGTTCAAAATAGTGCGAATGAAAAAAAGCAGCCTTGAATGAGGCCAGTGTATCCTGGCCCTGGAATTGTTCCCCGAGTTTGGCAAAATGGATCTTGTGACATGCACTCTCCTGGCAAGGGACAGAGCCTCCTTTGTGCTTCCCTTGTCCCATTCTTGTGAAACTTTAACATTACCCAATTTTTTTTCTATGCCACAGTTGAGGTAATTACCTAACCTTGAGGTAGAAAACTGCAACTCAGAACAAACAGGAATGAAGGGTGAGTATGTATGCAGACAGGATGCTGCTGCTGCTGCTCTACAAACCCGATGATGACAAAGGAAAATGTGTTATTTATGAAAGGGACAAAGAGGAAGTGAAACAAAAAGCAAAATGAGTTAAACAGATCATGAAATGCAAAACAAAGCCCACAGCACTCAAAGGCAAAGCAGATACAGACTTGAACTTGAATTGAAGGAACACTTGAAAAAAGAACCTCTCCTTTTTCTTTTTTCTTTTTTTTTAAGTGTTCCTTCAGACAGGATGGGAGAACCAACCCGAGAGGGAGTGAGAACGGCGGTGCTCAGACTGAGAGGAGGTAATGCTTGGGATGACACGTTGGACACGAGCCGAGTATTCTGGGTAAACAGATGAATGATGAGAGAGAGAAGAATGATGATGACAAAACAAAAAGGAAAAGGAAAACAAGCAAGAAGAGGTCCCGCCTCTGACAAGAACAAGAGAACAAGAAGGTAACTGACAGATATTTTCCATGTATAGAAAAGATGCTCATACCTGTTCAGGGACTTTAACCTATGAGTGCTGATGTGCATGCTAACCTATAAATGCCACATTAAAAACCAGAAGTGAAACTTTTTTTTTTCTCTCTCCAAACAAGTCATGAAAAGGGGATGATTTCTATAATACAGGAATTAGAAAGTAATCCGACGTGGTTCTCATTTACCTCAAACAAACAATACACTACATTTCCAACTCATATAGGTATTAAACTAGAATTTAGTCTACATTTAAATGGTAGTAAAGTGAAGTGAACTGTATTGTTGATTCTAGAAAACCTCTTTCTGCATTTGTAATCTGAGGGCTCAGCTATCACACTGCTTTATGTTGACTTTCTTCCATTTCTTGCTGCTCTGCAGAATGTCTGATGTGCTTATCTAGGGACAGTCAACCTGCTGGACAGGAAAGAACACTTCCTGTTTGAGCTTGAGTGATGGGGACTGATGAGGTGACATTCACGCTATAGGGGAAGGCTACAACCAAGACTCATTGAAACATCTTGGGAGTGTGAGTTCTATAGACAATGCTGACTGTAAAATGACAAGGCCAGCCCAACATCAGAGTAAAACTCTTTGAATCAGAGCAGACACCTAGAAACGGACTGCATGAACTGTACGTACAATGAGAATTAACCAGCATCGTGACCTAACTGTGACATGACATACCGTATTTATCTGTCTCATCATGCTATTGAAAATGAAATAGTGTGGTTTCCTTCTTCTGCAGGTCAAGGTGTTGGGAAGTCACATCTGTGACCTCAGCAGTCTGTCGAATGAAATTTTTCCAGCCGCAGTGATCTCAAAGATGTACAGTTTGCTCAGAATTATGAAAGTGCTTCAGACAGGCGAAATTAAAGCCATCCAACAAAGAAAAATGTAGGAGGGGAGTGGCTCAGTCTGTGGAAATATTGGATTTTAAGCATGGTTTTATCCTCCCCAAACATTTTATCAAACAATAGAAACGTGTGAGATCTCAAATACATTTGAAGATGTCTTTTATGTTTAAATGAAAGGTGCTTAGGTCACAAATAGAGCTAGGTATCAGCATGAAATAACTTAATGGTGGATCTTACCAGCCACTCTTTGGGCCACCAGACCTTCAACGTTGAAGACTTCATCTGGTTCATTGTCTCTTGGCTGGGGTGATGCTGAGGAAGCACAAGGGCTTCTCTGGGGCTCAGACACTTCTGCAGACTGGGACAATGTGCTTGGTGGGTAGGTGTTGATGGGCCTGAGCTGGGTATGACCAGCTACAGAGGCAGAGGCTTGTGAGGAAGGACAGGCTCCAGCCATATCAGATCTGTTACTCAGAGATCCCTGGACAGGTGCAGGCTCTGGTGTACTAGGCTTCCCAGGTGATATCTGAGCCGGTGACGAGTGGCTGGCCCGGCTGGACGTAGGGCCAGAAAAGTGGGTATGAACGGCGACATCAGGCTGGCAGGAAGGCCTGGTTTGGCTCTGGGAGAAGGACGGCTGGGTGGTAACTACAACGTTTTCCCGCAGTGGAGCACTTTGGGACTTTGGCACCAGCGAATGACCTGGTTCCAAATCCAACATGAGGAGATTGAGGGTTTCAATCGATTGCTCAATTTCTTTCTGGGAGGCGCTGTGACGATGAGGGAACTGTGGGAGGCTGTGGTGGCTGGACATTACTGCTACAGGAGGAAGTGGACCAAAAGTGAGGCCTTCGGTTACTGGCTCCTCGGGTACACCGAACTGCTGCCAAACGTTGAGGCCACGCTGGACGGCATCCCTGCTACTGGTGGTGCGGGCGGGAGCTTGTGGCATAGAATTTGGCTCTGCACCAAAAGACTGAGAGCGGTACAGATTGCCATTCTGGGTAGGCATGTAATTACCAGGGGATGGGGATAAATTATTTTGTGTCAAAGTGACAGGCTTATCGGATATGCCAACAGGCTTATCGGATATGCCAACCTGTAGCTTGATGGTTTCCAGAGGCTTTTCTGGGACGCTGCGCTCTAGATATGGCACATGTTCCTGCCCATTGATAATTGACTCAGACTGGTAGTAAAGGTCAGCTGGTGTAGCCCGTCCATCTGTTGAGGAGAACGTCCCTAGACTATCCACACTGTTGCCCTCTTGACTGGTGGGCAGCTCATCATCCAAAAATGTCTGTCTCACGGTCAATGTTATTGTGCCCATTGACATGGACCTGGGCAGGCACAAGGTGAAGCATGCCTCCAACAGAAGAGGTTGGGGTAGACAGGTAGCCCTGTCGATGCATGGGACCCTCCAAGCCACTCAGCAGCTGCTCAAGCTCCTGTTTCTCTTGGGGACTGATTGGATGTTGTGCAGGTGGGGCGTGGGGATGGACTAAGGGTAGCTCCTCACCTACAGGAACGTTTGTCTGGCTCACTGTGGAAGCCTGAAGGGCTGCTGCTGCTTCATCTGTTCGGTCAGTTTTGATGGAGGCAGTAGAGTTTCCTGAGTCGCTGCTCACTGACAAGGCATGGTCAACTGCAGGCAGGGCATGTTCAGCAGCAGTGGGTGGGAGCCCGTTTGCTGTGACTGTTCCTTCAACGGACTCCTTTTTACGAACTTTGGCGTAGAGGCTGCCGTCCAGTGGTCCTTGGGTATGGATGACTTCTAAAACAGAGTAGTACGAGAGAGGCTCATTAGAATCAGATTAAGCCAAATACAACAATAATTCAGCTTTCCACAACCCATTCATTTTCAATCGCTCATGTATTTTTAGAGCCATAGTAGTTTTGCCATTACAGAAATAAATCTGTAATCCTCTAAATAAAGTAACACGGGATTCAACAAGACACTAAGAAGCGAAGAGTGGAGAGCTATCATAGAGATGGGGTATCAGGATATTGTGTGGGCATGGCCAAAACAGCTGCCATTAAATTAAATACTGGCTCATGTCCATCTATTCTACCAGCTTCTGGAAATGACCAGTGTCTGTGGCATGTACTGTGGAAAAAACAATGAAATCACACGAGCTTGCCTTGCAGTTCATCTGTGCCACCCGAGGAATACTTACATTATAAAAGAGGAATCAGTTGTTGATTTTATTTGCTTACGATCCCCACAACTGTGAACGGGATACGCTGATGTAGAAAACAGATAGATGAATGGACATCTGAGACTTTTAATCTACCAATACGGCAATCAACTCATAAGATCTGATGGAATGCTGCAAAGTAGATTGTGTTAACTGAACAAATGCATATGCACACATACAGTACATTCACAACCATTCACATTCACACATAACCACACCCAGGTCCAGTGAAGAGGAAGTAGGGTGCCTAATCAGAAAAATTTAGTCATCACTGGAAAATCAGACTCACTGAGTGAGGAAGGCCTGGAGGCTTTTCCTGGCCTCCGAAACCCAAAGCAAAACAAAAACCCAACATACTGAGAGTCAAAGCGTAAAGGCTGAAACACACATACACACACAAGCTTAAATGTACTTTTTCCCCTCCCTCCTGCATTATCTCACACAGCCAACAGTGCACCAGTGCAGACAGATGCATCACTACTTTTATGTGATCAAAGGCTATTGGTGAGTCTGCTCTTTAAAACTGTAATGTCAAAAAAGAAAATCACATTCTCCAGAGAAAAACATTACCTTTTCAGACGAGTCCTCTTCTACCAAAGTATTAAAGTTCTCAAAATCTCATAACCCATGATGAGACTTGTCCTGATACCCAAATCAGATTCTACAGCTGGGAAAGGAGCTGCATAAAGAAGCTGTCTGTGTCTCTGTAACTTATAGATATCTTGATCTCAGCTTTAGTGAATACAGGGCTCTGTAATAGAGCTTGGTGGGCGTAGACGAGCTGGGTACTGCAAGGTCTCCTTGGCTGTCCCGGGGCAGCTTGCCAAGGAAATGGCGCACTGTTGCAGCTACACTGTTGCTGCTGGTGGAAACAAATCTGGTGGCTCTTGGCCACAGAAACTCACATTGTATGTTTTCTACTACTAATCCCTTAACAATTTTACTTTGATGGGTACAGTCCATTGGTGGACCACATGTGGGGAAAAAAGAGGCTGCGGTAGCTTCTAGCCCAGTCTAGACCGATAATGGCCTGTTGCAGTATCACAAGCCATTTAGACTGCATCTTCAGTGTCAGTACCTGTGGTCTAGTCAGCTTAATACTTGAGGTAGTCAAGTTCATGATTACCACAGTCAATACAAACCATGGCCAAAAAAAGACCAATTGTGATGCAAAAGTTCAGATTTTTGGTAGCTGCTAATGTGAATTCTCCACTAAAGTCTATGTTGTCTCCTCTGGAAAGTCAGCTGCTAAGACAGCAGGTTCCAAATCAAGTCATCATAACACATTTATATAGCTCATGAAACTGCTTAAGTATCAAGTTAAGGGCTGTGCATGCATTCCCATCCACATGAGCGCACGCTCTTTTCATGCATCAGTCGCGACGATAAACATAGACATAAGTCGTAAAAGAAGAGCTCCCCTAACTTCTTAGGATTATCAGTCACACAGCTCAGCTGATTTTACACACTTAATGCCTGAACAACAACACACTAGTTGCCTCAAAGTTAGTCAAAGCTTTGGCAAAGGAAAAAGCAGAAACACCTCCACGAGAGGAGGTTCCCCTACCTGTGTGAGCAGTGCACGACGTACAGTCCCAATTAAGCTGGGAAAAGCCCCGGAGAGGAGCCCCTGGAGTGGGACATGAGGGATTACAGCAGGAGTTGGGGTAGTCTGTTTTGGCTACTGTTCCTTCTCCACCTCCCTCTCCTGAATAGCTGTCTGGCCGGATCAGGACAGCTACTGCTGTTGCTGGCTGCTGAGTGGCTCGCACTTGTCTAAAGGCTGCCTCTGCTGTGTGTGCGTATGTGGGAGGTCTATCACAACAGCCTGTTTGACTGTGTATGTGGGAGAAGGTGGCGGGGGGAGGGTGATCATTGAAATCCAGAGTATAGAGATTGATACATAGACATCCCTTCAAGTCCCTTCAGGTTTTGGGTCTCTCGCACACCTACTACGTTTATTACTAGCCCCCAAAACAAACATAAGGTGTTTACTTTACTAACATATCCTTAATATATATGTCTTCAAATGAATCCAGTATATAGAACTTGGCTGGAAAAGTGCTGAAAAACATAATATGGCATCCACCGACATTCGTAGAATTAAGTCCTTTCCATGCACATAGAGAGATGCCCCTCCTTTAGCTCACTGGTGTTAAAAACACTAATGTAATGGAAAGAATTACTTCGTCCAACAACAGTCATTTAACAAGCTCTCTCCAAGCTAGCAAGCAGAGAGAAAACTCCACCCTGCTGCAGGCAGATCGAGAAAACAGAAAAGCTTAGTGGTTAAAAAATAGAAAGATGAATACATTGGGTGGCTGCTGGTCTGATTTTTATAGAATGTAAGAGGGGCTCATTGTCTTACTGGTAAAGACTAAAAAAATCATGGATAAAGTCAGACGTAGATGATTTACAGCAGTTGTACACTGAGACACGAGGCTGGTTTACAAATGCAACCTATGGTAATATATGCACACATACACACAAAACAAAACCTTTATCCCACAAAGCTCCTCAGTCCTTGGTCCAGTTCATATCACCTAGCCATCTGTGCACATTAGCATGCAGGACAGTCACCTTACTATTGCAAACCACAATCCAGAACAATTGACAACAACCACATTTGTCAGACTGACTGATAACAATAAACATGTGACTTTGGCCTCCACAAAAATGTTTTCCTATTTACATCCTCATTTCAAGGAGATTGAGAGGAAGTTACATGATTATGGATTGCACTGTTCTCCCTTATTTGACTCACACCAACCCTCTTGTTTCTCTTCACTCTTCCTAGCCCCACATCCTTCTCCTGGCCTCTCTCCCTTTTCTTTCGGTGATGATGGTAATGACTCAGTGAGGGCAGCTGTGCTATGGTCCCACTCTTACATCAAATGAAAGCCCGATTTAGACAGCCATCTTTAACAAGCTCATGTCTTCACTTTAGAGACAACGTGACTAACGAGCGGCCCACAGAACCCCCATTTGTACTACAGGAAATCTAATCTGTCACTTTACACTTGTGAGACTTTCTATGGCGAGCAGACTATTTATGTTGAGACTCATTCTGCGTGGTGCTGTGTCTGTTGCTGTTTTCATTTGGTTGAAATGAACGAGCATAAGCCTCTACAAATAACTGATGACGGCGTTCCTTCGTGCGATAAGAGAGGGCCTATGTATGTGTGCAAGCTGGTGTGTTTTTACATACTCCCAGGGGAGGTGAATGTTCGCTCTGTGATCCCGAGCACATTAGTCAGAAGAATATCCTAGTCTAGACAGTCACAGGTAAAGTATTGTAGATGCGCAACACCGTAGATCAAAACTGAACTCTGAGTGGGAAGTGTTGTAGATGGAAGGTGCTGCCAGTTATTTTGAGGTTCTGTGGACCAGATGGTGCATCTGTGTGGCCTCTTGATCTTTAAACTTTGAGCTCTGACCCCTATTGGCAATGGATCCTCCTTTACAGCGGAAATAGCATGTTTCCCCTTGTAGCATACATGGACAAACACACTACTCTGTGCTTGTGTGTGAGAGAGAGAGAGAGAGAGAGAGAGAGAGAGAGAGACCGACCTTGTGGGCATTCCAAAACAGTTGGGGGTCCATGTCTACTGGCCACAAGTGTGACATTAATAAAAACAAAGATGAAACACTTTCTGAGAACGTCCCCTCAGGCCTCAACTCCTACAACCATTAATAGCCCGACAAGAATAAAGCTCTAAGTGTATTTACATTCAAGAAGAATGAAGCGAGAATAAAGAGATTGAGTAGATAGCCATAGTTTAATCGTATCTAAGTATAGTCTGGTACCATATTTGGTATAAGTTAATGGTTTAACTATTGATTTGGCAACAAAGCATGCCTTTACTATTTGAGAGGGCTCAAGGACAGCTATTAAAGAAGCCTTGTAAATGATCTACACAAGAGACTATCACATCTTCTGAGCTGGATTAAATTGATTTATCGGGATCAGAGAAGGCTGATCTGTAATCTATTTAGCAGTTTAGCTATTGCCAACAACCGTAGCCCCAAAACGCTTAGTCAAATGTAAGTACAGGAACTCGTTGCCCTGCAGCTCATTAAATATACATCAAACATTACTGTGAATCAATATGTGAGAGTGCAAACTTGCTATGATTGGGGAAACAAAAGGATAAGGTAATGGAGGGTGGTTTGGTGCAGGCAGGAGGATGATATTGATCACTGTCAATAGGGTTGTTCTCTTCACCTTCAAACTGACCAAAACCGCCCTTATGACATCGCTTTAGGTAGTATTGTATATTATTCCAAAAATATGCCTCAAAGTTGAACACAAGGTACATTTTTAAAATCCTGTTTCTCATATCTAAGCGTATCAAAGCCTCAGTATTTAAAAGTGCTACGAAACATAACTTCTAATCTACCACCAATAACCTGTAGCCAGTATTGGTCAGAAGTAGGGGCTATATATAACTCAAATACTGCTGAAAACAAAAAGCATAGCCGTAACCAACACGCACACCATGTGCTACATATCAGTCAGACAGTTCATCCATGCACAGCATTACGTTTCACTCTGGATGCGGTTGTGTCTCAGGAA